CTTAGGGGAAAGAGGCGAGACTAGTATTGCTGAAATGTGTTGTTTGAAAAGTTCATTGGTATCGACTGTGGCTCACTCTGCTTCTCCGGCACCGAGTCTCGCACCAGATTCTGTCTCTAGGGAAGAGGATCTACAGACGTCAGAAAACTACCTGAGCAGAGGAGGGTCCATGCTGCAGAAGGGTCCCCGAGGTCAGTCACATCCTCACCACCATTGCTCTTCTTCTGTCTCCAGCAGTCTGCAGGTGATACCCCAACAACACCCAAGTACACAAAGGAGCACCAGGACATCTTCTTCCCTGCATCCCTACCAGCGCCCGTCCTGCTTAGCCACTCCACCTGCCACCCACAGTCCACCCAGGACGGCCAAGCCAAAGTGGTGTACGAGCCCCTGAGCAAGCTGCCCAGACCTCTGGCCTCAAGCCTCCACGACCAGTTGCAGCACAGGAGAGCGGCTAGCCACCCCACTGCAGCCATGCCCCTCCTACCACACACAGGTACAGAGGCCTCTGCTCATACCATCTCCCACCATTAGACATTTGGTTAGTGGTAATTACACATGCTATTACAATCTTTGATGCTGCCGAGTGACTCTTTGCAGTTATCGGTCCAGTTTAGAGTTAATGAAAGTGCTTTAGTCTAAGTGACCAGCAGCGATCTATTTCCACAGACCTGCTACATCGTCGCAGACTCTGGCATGCTTGTGTTTTGCCTTCTAGATTTTGTCAGTCCCCCAGTAAGACTTTTAGAAATCCGTGTCCTCCAGACTGTCACTTTCTTTCTACCTTTATGAGCTTGGATAATCACTGTTAATCCTCCAAATGAATATTCTGTTGGATAAAATATTCTGTTATGTTTAATATATAAAAATGCGCATCTACACACTGTCTTCAGCCTAAATTCCCATGATGTTCTTAGAAGTCTGCAAATGAGCAATAAAATACCAACTCAACCCTTGGGCTTGAATTTCCAATAAGTACTATTTGGTTGTGTGTTCTTAACATTTAAACTCCTCTTTTATATTAGATGTGGCTCTCCTCCAGATGGTTTGTCTGTTTCTTTTCCATTTTCAGCAAGTGGTCTGAAGCTTCTTTAAATGCAGTCCCTAAAACCTTTGCTTTGATATCTGAAGACATCGTGCGGGGAGCAAAGTTGATGCAGGTGTTACTTCTGCGATCTGTAATTCAAAGGAATGTGGTGTTACATGGACTTTGCATAGGCCCAAATCAAGCAGAACCATGTAGCCAAATGGCATTTATTTCCTTGCAAAAAAAAAAAGGTCTAACCAGCAACACATGTAAAATGACTCGGGTACTGTGCTAAAACAGTCAGCCCCCGAAATAAGCAAACACACACTTAACTAAAGAGATTATATAAACATAATTATAGTGTTTCATGTTCCCCACCTACACATGCACAAATTCTAATAAGGACAAGCTCACCTGTTTTTTTTTTTACAAGTTGATACAAATTCATACTTGTTGCTGTCTGCTTGTGTATTGATTTTTTTGAAACATCTTTACATTTATATAACTCCTAAAATACAAACGAGTCAGCATTATTTCTTTAGTTTCATATTTAGTTTCATTGTGACAAAGCCACATCAAGATATCTGAGTGAAAAATCATCTCATTAATTAGCTGTATGGCAGGAATCTGTACTCCACAGCAGTTTGCATCTTGTTTTTGTCCTTGATTAGAAACCCACAACACCGCTTCACAGCAGCCTTGACAGTTCCGGTGGTGAGAGAAGCCTGTCATGTCACCTGAGACATTGACAGAGTGGTAAATTCAGCTTTACAGTTTATCAGAAAGAGAACGGGTCACACTGCACTGACAGTGCAGGTATTCTTTTCCTAAACACTGATTACATTCATATATTGATTGGAGTACAAATGTGAAACAACCACCTGTGCTGTGTGGTTATGTGGATCTGTTGCATGCAAAAGGAAGTTTGAATACACATATGTATGCATACACGCACGCACAGTTTAGCATCAAGCAACACTGCACCAGTGTGTATTATGTACTGTAATGGTTTCCAAGGTAACGTTAGAAGAGAAATCTGACAGAGTATGAGATCATTTTTGTTTTCATTTGTGTCTACAGTCAGTTCACATGCAGTCATTCCCAACTGCTGTTTAATGAAAGTATTTAAGAACATCTCAGCTGATTGTCTGATGATAATAAAGGCTCAAATGTATCTTAATGTTGTGGTAACTGTCTGACCAGATTTGTTAATTATGTCACAGAGCACTCGGTACAAACAGTAATGTTCTGACACTTTTACACCAGTTTAAATAAGACAGTTGTGTTTTACTCATGTGGTGTCTGAACCATTAACACATCTTGTCTTAAAGAAATCTGATAATGTGTAAACATTGCTTTATTTGACCAACACTACTGGGAATCTAGGCTTGGGTTCACATTAACAGCTAAAGCTCTGGCTTCTTGTTATCGCCCATATTTTTTTATGCCTAATAACACAAGCTAACATCAGACTTAACCAGGATTGTTGCTGATTAAGTGTCATAAAAGCTAAAGAAGATCAAGTTGCAGTTGGAGGGGAACCAATTAGATTATGATTTTTGTAAAGAATTAAGAGTGTTGTAAAACTAGTAAATACTTGTATGGTCCAGTGCAATAGAATGGTTTTACCATGCATTTGCCGATGCATTGTTTTTCCCGACAGAAGAGCGAGAGGAGCCCTCAGAGGGACTTTCATACCGACAGCAGGAGTCGCATCTTTGTCAGCAGATGAAACTCGCCACTGTATCCCAAGGGCAAGATTCAGCAGCAGGCTGGTTCCAGGAGGAAACTGCCACTTGTAGCACCACACAACCTTGCCCAGGTCAGAACCTTTGAATCAAAACTGTGACAGAAAAGGTCACAACAGGATACATGGACTAAATTCATATTCCAACCTCTGTCAGAACTTATACTGACTTCATATGCCTCGAAATATTTCAAACTGCCCTGTGGTTTTTCTCTCTCAGACCAGTCACAATATGCCAGCAATGATCAGTCAAAGCTTCCAGATCCCAGCCGGATCCGCTCCCGTGTCCCACCCAACATGCCAAAGCTTTTCATCCCTTCCACAGTTACTAAGTTCCCACCAGAAATCACAGTAACACCTCCGACCCCAACACTTCTCTCTCCAAAAGGCAGCATCTCAGAGGAAACCAAACAAAGACTTAAGGTATGCTGTATACATAACCACACATACAGTTGTTTCCACTGTAGTCTCGTCCAACACTCAGCAGTGACCTCTGCTGTCTCTCCCGTACAGAATGTCATCCTGTCGTCTCAGTCTGCAGCCACCGTCAAAAAGGACACGCTGAGCCAGCCGGCGCTGGATGTGCAGGAGACATCCAGCCAGGAGTCCTCTCTGGAGAGCGAGTCAGACGAGGAGGACGATTACATGGACATCTGAACCCCTGGAAGCCTCGTGTGCATGCTGAACCTGAACTCTTCTCACAGTCCAGCCTGGCTCTAAAAAAAAAAACAAAAAAACACAGTACTGGTACATGTCGCTGCTGCTGTCTTTGTTGATGCTTTTTTCCCTCATGTGCATTGCAAAAAAGAAAAAGACACTCCCAAACTGAAAAAGTGCAGTATTGTCATCGCCTGTCATGTCACGGTGTTGCTCTGCTTGTCATAAGTGGTGGTGTATATGGCAGACGGTGACGGCTTCAGTCTCACATGTCTGTAACATGTCATTTATGCATATCACACATCAGCTTATCGAGCTCTCCTGCACCCAGCTGTACACTGGATCTGGCATCAAAGACTTTCAGCCATTAAATCCAAACCAGTTCCTGTGTTATTGCATCTTTTTTTTTTCCTCTTATATGCTAAATGTATCGCCAATCCACAGCTATATGCTCGAGACCCTGCCAATCTGAGGTGCCTCAGTCTGGACTGACACGCAGCAGCATGTACCTACTGTCCTCCACTTTGGTCGTTTACTTTGGCATGAGATTTTCATCTGCAAGACGCATTGCATTGATATGTGAAATACTTCATTGGACAACAAAATGAAATGAGGACAATCGGCTGCATTCGCAGTGTGTGAAGTTAATAGGCCACACAGCCTCACAACCTGTAGCAGATTGGAAATGTTTACACTTAACATTTGGTTTGTTTTTCAGTTATCACTTTGTGCTATTTTTGTACTCACTGTATTTCTTGTAATATTTTGTCCTATATATTTTTTTCTTTTCTTTTGAGTGCATTTGTAGCTAAGAGGAACAGTTCTTACCAGGAGGAAGCCTGTCACCAGCACTGATCTGAATTATACGGAAAGGGGGCTTCGCTTATTAGAAATTAGCTTTTGTACATATCATAATCCAAAAATCTTTCCAATAGGTTTGGCTTTATTTGGTTGAGTATCAAGCTGGAGAAGTGTGCGCATGTGTGAGAGTGTAACCATTAAGGTGAGGGTCACTTCAGTTCCAGTCGACTCAGGAAACGACTCCCCGTTACCAGGCGCTCGATGTGGTCTTTCCTGACTTCAGTGGAATTGAAATGCAGGCTGACGGAGACTTTGTAATACAGATGCCTTTCCATAGAGACCACTTTAGTGAATTTGTCACAATCCTAGCTGAACTCAGAGGAAGACAACAATGTTTTTTACTGATTGTTTTCTATAAAGCGAAAGATATTTATTGATTATGTTTCTTGAAAGCTGTCAAAGTAATTTTTTTAAAAAAGGGCATAAATGAATAATTGTAAACTATCACCCTTGATTTAAAATATATTTGTATTTTATTTCATTAATTTTCTTTATTTTTTGGTGTAAGATAGTTTTCTATTGTGCAAAGCTTCTGGGGCCACCACGGCTTTAAAAAAAAAAAAAAAAAAAGACGGGCTTAAAGGCTTGAGCTCAGCGTGGCTCAGTGTGGAGGGAAGCTGTTCTCTGGACTAAATGCATTATAGATGTCAAACCAAAAATATATTTGAGAAACACATATTTGTTCTGTGTGCTACTTCACCATTCATAGTACTTTGTTGCATGTTTGCACCTTAGGTTCCTCAGATATAAAGGCAGACAATCTATTCAGACACTTTACCTCTACAGTGTTTCAGACATTATGTAAGGAATTAATGTATTAAAAACATACAGCATCAATTAATAATTTACTGCACATGTGACAGGTTCCAATTTGACCACAGTTTATCACAGCTCACATGTAAGAGGAGCAAACAATGGCATTATTCATACAACCTGAACAGAGTCAAGTTGTAGACTTACGGTATCATGGAAACTATTTTCAACAGTGAACCTAGATTATTGTTTTAACTCAGTATAGTGTCACTGTATCAATGTGTATTACAAATTCACTTTGTTATCTCTCATTTAACCAGGTAAAAGTTCCACTCAGATCCAAATTGTTTTTCAAAAAGGACCTGGCCAAAGAGGGCAGCAGTCAGTACAGTACAAGGAACACAGACAGTCTATAGGACAAATGCCTCTCAATATGAAAGAATAATGATTATTTAGGATGCATGAAATTTACTTGTCAAAAGAGAAGCTTCAGTTGAACAGTGGTGGAAAGTAACCAAGTACATTTATTCAAGTACTGCACTTAAGTACATTTTGAGGTATCTGTACTTGAGTATTTTCATTCTGTACTACTTCAACTTCACTACATTTTAGAGGTAAAAATTGTATATTTTATGACTTTAGTAACCAGTTACCTATTGGAACCAGATTAATACAAAAATGACAACATAATCATAAAACTATTGATCTGCACTGGAAAATTCACGAGCTTAGCTCCTCCTTTACCAGCTGCAACATTACATGTGATGTGCACGATAATCATCAGTAATTATAATCCAGTAATATCATACATTCGTGTAGAAAGTGCCATGTTGGAAAAATGAGTACTTTTAATACTTGAAGTTTGTTTTTACATTTTGTGTTGCTACTTTACTCAAGTGACGGGTCTGAGTACTTCTTGCAGTGGAAAGACTTCATTGCTAAGCTAAAAAAGGGTGGAGATTAATTTTGAGACCATTTAAAGATAAGTTCACAATTTTTCAAGTCTGTTTTAAAACAGCAGTCGGGTGTCCATATGTACGGTGACAAAGTCCTGCCTTCTGTTTATACTGCTCGTTAAAAGATCCTCTCAGTGTAAGTGATGGGGGACCAGATCTACAGACTTAATAAGCTTCAGCAGAAATCAAATCAACTGGAGCTCAGACTGCTGAAGCTTCATACTGTTTACAGAATCCAGTCTTCTGCATGGAAGACAGTGAAGGTAAAATCCTAAAATGTACAGCAGCCATTTCTGTCACAGCTGACATTGCTACACGACAACATTTCAGGTTTATGTTCAGCATGTGAGGCCTCTGACGCTGACACCATGCTATTTATTTTTTATCCTAAAGACTGGTCACTTAGAAAACACACCACAAAGTAACATCACTGTCAAGATGAAACAACTATGGGTCAACTCAGACCTGTTTGTCTCTGGAACTATTTTGAAATCTAAAAGACATGTCAAGCCTGTGGTTCCAGTCCCAGTGGTGCTGTGTAGACCACCCAGCTGACCACACTGACTTTGCAGTCAAAGGGCTTGTACACTCTGGTGTGAAGTCTCCGACACCAGGGAAGTCATTAGTCTTCATTAGCAACTTCCAGGAGTTTCTTAAGAAGTGCCGTGAAGTTGTCATTTGCCCCCTTTGCCAAACAAGCTAGATCTGAAGTTTGTTTTCTTATGTGGTGGACCAAATGTGAGCTTGCCCAGCCCCTGCCTGATGCAAGTGAAATCATGGTCGCTCCAAATTTGGCATGGAGAACATATAACTCTCATTCATCCATAATAAAGAATTTTATTTATCAATTTATTTTATAACCTCTGCATATTGTAAAGGAAATGATGAATTGACCTATATATAACAGAATTAGATTCAGTTGGGTGTCACTGTTGAAACTGTTGATAAGCGCTTGAATGCTTGGATGCCCCATTATTTCTATGTAGACCCTCCAATGCAAATTCACTTCTGGCACAGCATCTCAGAGCAGATAAAGTAACATTATAATGGACCTGTTGTCAGGTAAAGGCCTTTCTCCTGTGAGATTGTTCAGTCTCCTGTGACATCATGTTGTTTCCAACCATGGGGCTGCTATCGCTACAGACCCCTCAAAGTGGCCAATTAAAGCATCAAAAGGGCATGCTGCATGGCTAATGTGAGCGAAAGGTGTGAGATTTCTCGTCACTTCGCTCCAGGGGCTCTTTATTGGGCTGCTAGAGAGCCGTCTGATCCCCAGGCCCTGGCTGTATATTGGCAGCTGTTAACTGATGAGCACAAGGGGGATCTGCACAGTTAAAGCAAATGGCTGCACTGCTGAGGGTAATCTGGGAGGAAAGCCACAGTGGAATCAGGCATGAGTTGCGGTATCAGCCGGTATGTCTGGTCTGTCATCTCATCTTGTATTGAAACGATCCTGCTATCAGTAAATATTAATATGCTGATAGAGCATATTTGGGCCTTAATATATCCACCATGGCTTGAGGAAAACCTCCCCTGATGTGTCACCCAGTCCAAATCGCCCCCAGGCTGGCTGTTACATAAGCCAGCACTCCCTTCCCTGTCATCCCGCTCTGTTCCTTGCTTTTGTCCCCAGGCCATGTACTGAGGCCTTTACACCTGTCACCTCCAGACGCAGCATGTAATGGGATTGACACTGCCACTGCTGAAATGTGCACCTCAGCTCAGGGCTCTGACACACTCCCTGCTGCTATAGGGCTGAAGTGATCTGCAGAGTTTCTCTTGAAAATCTCTTTATTTCTCTCTAACACTCGAAAAGCAGTGTGAGCTTCTTTGCCCCACGAAGGACTTTAAGGGGATCCCCACGCAGGCCCCGAGGAGCTGGCTAAGCACTAAGTGATGAGAGCCACACTGAGCCTGTGATTAATAACTCCTTACCAGCAAGTGGTTTCGCATAAGGAGGATGAAAACACATCGCACTTCCTCAAGACCAGTGCCATCAAGGGCCAGAGAGGGAGGAGACCTGCATTAGGGCATTTAACATGCTGAAGTGATAATACAGAGCTCTTTGCATCCTTAAGTGCATCCTTACAGCCACACTGTTGTTATCCTTTTTATTGAACATCGACCCACCACAAAAGCCAAAAGACACCAATCAATATTTTCACAGGGAAGACTTTCTAGCACTAAACATCACTTTATGCACACTTTACTCCTGATTCTATGCCGCTACCTTAGACAATGTTGCGTGCCAAACCACTGCTTTAAAAACTTCATCTACATCATGCATTACACATGGCTTTGGTTACTGATCCGTTACGCATACAGTTACACAAAAGCAAAAGGTTCCTTTGTGCCAGGGTGTTAGAGAGCTGAGCTTCAGAAGGGCATTGTATGCAATGGGCAGACATGAGAATACAATGAGAAAAGTGGAAGTGGTGTGTGTGTGCTAGGAGAGAGGCTGAATGAGATGTGAAAGTCACCTCACTTCAAATTTTCATGTCAGTGGAAACAAGAGAAAACTGTGGTTTGATTATTTTCCTCTATGCTAATGCCTGCTGTGTTTAGCATTTGTTTTGGCTGTGCTAGCATGATACAGGCGGAGACAGACCTATGAATAGTGACACCCGTGGATTTTTCCTGGATGTGGATGGTAGTGGGAGGACGGTTGTTGTAGCAGCTCTTTATTCTCTAACCCCTCCTGTCCCATTCAAGGCTGACTTGGGCTTGTGGTGCTAACTGGCTGTTAATTGTCTGCCTATACACAGGGTTTTCTCCGCATGAGGAAACTTAGCTCCTTCAAGAGAAACTAGCCTAATGAGATTATCTACCAGGGCATGGGTCTGTCTAGACACCCCAATACGCAACACCCCCCTCCACCCCTCCCTCCCCAAACCACCACCTCCGCCTGGATTCCTGCATGCTTCAGAGAACGGCCCCAGGTAAAAGTTACCTGAAGAAAGAGTGCATGTTATCATCACACCATTATAGGTTTACGCAGAGTTTCCCACCCACTGTGTTAATTCCCTGATGGAAAAGAATGTAGAAAGGTTTGAAATTTCTATACTTCCAGGTCAATATGTTGTGAGGACAAAAATTAGTATAAGAATAATATTTCTACTTTGGCATGACTTGAAAATACTGCTGCTCCTCAGGTGTACACACGAATATCAGTGCATCATGTACCTTTGCATTACTATCAGTTGCGTCAAATTCATTATATCGGGTATTTACCACATTGTACAAATACACTAAGTAGCATTTTTGTCTGTGTCTATGTCTGTGTGAATGATATTTACACAGATTCTGGTGCCACAGTGAGGCCTGCTCTGTAGCAGGGAAGTCTGTCTATATTTGTTTTAAAGTCTCTTAGCAGTTAATAAAGATGCATTTCCTCCATCCCCCTTCCTGTGGGGACGGTATCAAGGCTCTGTTAAGTCTCTTTGATTTCCAGCACCCTCCAATCACAGTGGGACACTGTCTCATCATTGTGCCACTTCAAAGCTTGGGAATAGATGACCCCACCCCCTCCTGGGCTCTGCTTAAAAGTCACGGTCACAGCACCCTACAGGACCCAAGATCTCAGACATATCTGCTGTTGCAAGACTGAACAAACTTCTGACTTCCTTAGCTGCAGGATTTCTTTTACTGTTGCACATGAGACCAAAGAGGGAGCGCAGACCTGAAGAAATACTTGGATATCATTGAAAACTGGATTGCTTATTGACCTTCAATGCATGAACCTTTTCAGGCTTGCTATTGCTGAACCTAAAGAATGCAGTCCATCAGAGGTGAGTGGTGACTGGACCTTTTGGATTTACATTGGGCTTAACAAACAACAATTCCAGATTCCCTTCCGGTGCTGTCTTTACTAAAATGTACAATTCCAGATTCTCAATTCTGTCACTTTTGTTGAAGCATTGCTATAATAAGTCCTACTATCTTCCAGATGTGAAACCTAACTTCAGCAGCCCTCCTCCCTCCTCCATGGCTGCTGGACCAGATGCCTATCTCCAGGGCAACATCAGGATGACTCTGGAGGACCTTGAACTCTGGAAGACCTTCCATGAAATAGGAACAGAGATGATCATCACTAAACCAGGAAGGTAAGAGGATAAAAAAAAGGACATTTAATGCAAAATGTTTGGTAAAGAAGAGGTTCACTCAGTTTCTATGTTTGCTTGTTTTTCTTCCACACTCATATATTTTGTTTGATGTTTTCCAGGAGGATGTTTCCACACTGTAAAGTTAATATAACTGGCCTTATTCCATGTGCCAAGTACATCCTACTGGTCGACATGCTCCCTGAGGACGGGTTCAGGTATAAGGTAAGACAGCACTGGATTTTATTTTTTCTCTTATTCGATATTTTCAGCTGAGAAAATGTAGCCTTGGCTTGCCAGTGGTTTCTACTATCCCCAGACAAGACACCCCCTGTTTATCACCCCCCTATGCTGACATTGTACATCAAAGGGTGCTATCTCTTCCTGTTTTTCTATCCCCTGCTGGGAGTCCACTGTTCTACCCCCTATCTCTGTGGGTGGTACCAGCCAGTCATCACTCTCCGCTCTATCATCCTCTCACACTGTGGGAAAGGAAGAATCTGCAAATCACCTTTCTTTCTATGACAGACTGACTTCCTATGTCTCCTTACAGTGGAATAAAGAGAAATGGGAGGTGGCAGGAAAAGCAGAGCCTCAACCTCCCTGCAGGACCTACTTCCACCCTGACTCTCCAGCCCTGGGGAGCCACTGGATGAAGCAGCCCATCTCCTTCCTCAAGCTCAAGCTCACCAACAATACACTGGACCAGCACGGCCATGTGAGTAAGACCATTCCAAATGGAGTGCTTAAGAGCAGCTTTCTAATTCCAAATGACAGCCACATTGCTGTTTTGAAGGATATTAGACAATTGAGAGTCCTTGGGTCACAAAGTATTAGCGCATATAGATGGGATGCTTTGATAGTAACAAAGTGGCTATTTGTGAAGTGTGCTGCAGCTCAAAGAGCTTAAAATACATGCTCAGAATTAATCGCTCGCTTCCTATTTGCAGATCATTTTGCACTCCATGCATCGCTACCACCCGTGCTTCCACGTTGTTCAGGCAGATGACCTGTTCAGTGTCCGCTGGAGTGTTTTCCAGACCTTCACCTTCCCTGAGACTTCCTTCACAGCAGTGACTGCATACCAGAACACCAAGGTCATTTGCCATCACTGGTAACCAACACAAATGCCACACCACACATGACTGAGATTTTAACTGAAGTGATGTCTCTTTCACCTACAGATAACAAAGCTGAAGATCAACCACAACCCATTTGCAAAAGGATTCCGGGATGAAGGCACTAATAAAAAAAGGTGGGTATTACAGACATCTGAGTGCAGGTCGATCGATGTTTGGTTATTTTATTTGAAAAATGATTATGGCCCTGCGCTAAATATCAGTGAACGTAATGGATAATGTTCCTCCATAGGCGTACAAACAAAAAACCAGCCTGTCTTGAGAAGCAACCGAAGATGTCAGACATTTTAAAAGGGGACTCAGAAGAGGACACACCACCAGGTGTCGACTCCTAACTCTCTTCAACCAGATGATGATTTTGCTTCCTTGCCCTGTACCTCTAAGCTAACCCATGACTTGTGTCTTCTCAGATTTCTGCCAGTCATCATTTGAGGGGTACGACAGAGAGGAAGGAGACTTGGCCAAAAGCAAAGAGGCCGATGCCGTCAAAGTGGAGCCTTACTCCCCCTGGGTTGCTGAGAGGGAGCACAGTGTGAGGACTGACTCTCCTGCTGAGGCAGACACCAGGGACATGTATAACACAGAGCAGCTTGTTCCTGCATCCGCTTCCTACCAGCCATACAGGTGAATACTGGTAAAGTTATGAAACATTAAAGAGCATAATGTTGTCAAGATAAGCAGGACACTGACCACCTTCCTTTCACTCTTCAGGTTCCATGAGTATGGGAAGTCTCCCTCTCCCTCCTCCAGCACCGGCAGCAGCAACAGCGGATCAGGACGCAGCAACTTTGAGTCCAGAGTTCCTGATGTCGCCACTGTGCCTGACCATGACTCTTCAAAGCCCCGTACACAGGAGCTTGGCCCTGCCCCTTGCGGCCCCCAGCATCTCCCTGGTCCTCAGGACTACACCGGGGTCCTGAACATGACCATGGCCCAAGCCGGCAAGCCGGGAGTGATTGGCCACCACATCTACAGCCCCTACAGTGCGGAGCAGCCCCTGGGCCAGTGGAGCGGTCCTGGTCCTGCCCAGTATCCCCCCCCTCACCACCTGACTCCTGACTACACCACGCAAGCTGTGCACCATGGCTATAAAAAAACTGCTGGTGAAGGAATCTTCAGTGTTAATAAGTGACTGAGAGTGAGTTTTACTCATGCTGCTGCGCCATCTTGCCTGAATGCTGATCCAGCGCTCACAGCTATAAGAATGCATGCCTACATAAGGCTGAGGGCCAGAGGCCTGTGACAAGAATAGAAAAACTGGAAGAGGAAAAGAAGTAAGGAGCCGCCTGTCGCTGGCTTCTGTTCAGACTAGCAGGATTCAGACTGCAGTTACGCTGACTGAAACTTTAATGTGCTATGCCATGCTGACTGTCTGTTTTATTGTTTGTCTATTTATTTTGTATTTTATCTCATATTCGACTGTAAATATTATTTTTGTAAATGTATGTGCAATTTATGTCTATCTTTATATTGTGATGTGATCTGAAAATAAAAGCCCTGAAGTTTAAACGTAAGATATCTTTTCTTCCAGTAGAACACTCTCCAAGAAGGCACCTAATTTACATATAACTTACAGCATAGTGTCCTACTGTTAAACATAGATGGATGGTGTGAATAATACATGTATTTTCTCCTGTTACTCCTTATACTTACATTCAAATAAAATGTGAAATTTGACGGTTTTTGTTACACAAGTTGCAGAATCTGACTTTCTGGCTTTACAGGCCATGACAGTGCTTCAGATGCAGCATCTGCATACAGCAGGTTTACTGAATGAATGTGACTGAGCAGGTTGTAAAAACGTCTTTGTTTGTGAGTGCACATCTGCAGACTTTGGACTCAGTTAAGCAGCCCATCCTTTGTTGCTGTTTGTTTGCATTTCCTCTTTGTTGACCTAATGAGGACCACTCTGTAGCTTCAACAGGCCCAGCATTCATTAAAGACATTGTATTGCTGTGACTCCAGCTCACCTGCTGAGGTTTACCCACCAGCATCATAAAGCATTGCACCACTCTCATTCTCCATCTCAATGAGCCTTAAAAAGCATGAAAATGGGGGGCTGTTGGCTCCTTTTCACAACTGAAAGACAGACTGGGCCCATCTCCTTCACCCTGGTTGGAAATGAGCTGCTAATGACTATTGTAAAGTCAAGTGGGGAGGGGTGGGAGGGAGGAGGAGGAGAAATTGTGGAGTGGTGTGGATTTTATTTGGTGGAATTCATTATTTTGGAGGCTTCTAGAACTAATATACCTAACCTTCCCCAGTTGAAAGATGCATGCACTTCATTTACTCATTTCAGTTAGGATAAAAAGTGAGATGTCTGTGCTGCTGGGCGAGAAGGTCGGCATGATGAAGGTCAACTCCTGAGAGAAAAACACAGCACCTAGTCCGCATTTTGATTAAGATAAAATCATACTTTGAAGACCTGGGAAAATAAAAACCTGGATAACCATGAATGGGTTTTTGCCACAGTTTTACAATAACACATGAGAGCGATTTGTGTGTATTCACAAAACCTGTGTTAGTGCATAATACACAATAGTGTCAGTTTTGGCCTCTCTATAAATGCTACTCAGTTAAATCCTTTCCTCTTAAATATAAAAAGGATGTCAATGCTTACAGCTCCCCTTGTCAGTCCAAGTCAGAAATAACTGTGTAGTATTGTTCTTTAAAACTGAAAGTTTTTTTTTTAATTTTCCCTTTAAAAATAATTTGTTTATATTTTTATTGTATCATGGAGTAAATATTTTTCAATTAATTATTCTTAATTTCCAAACATGAGTTGAAATGTACCATTATTCGGATCCCTTTTTCTCATATTACTGTAAAAAGTGATATAAAGAAGTATTTTTATATGGGTAGGTAGGTAGGTAGGTAGGTAGGTAGGTAGGTAGATAGATGTATCTATTTTTATAAAGGCTTTCATTTGTAACAAGAGAGTGAAGGGTGAGCGATAAGGATGGGGGAACGTTTTCTGGAAGCCAGCAGGTCAGAATGGACACTCGGTCCTTTTTGTTTAAATGCTGCCTCCATATCATGTCATGCTGATGCTGTTTGATCATTCACATCAGAGCTATGTTACAGCAACACTGAATGCAGTGGCCAGCCTGCTCCGTAGATGAATGCAGTGAACAGGAGCCAGAGTCCAGATCTCCATCCACGTGTCTTTATCTGTCCTCTACTGACTTATTGCCTGACTTCGGACCATCTCCCCTCCCACACAGCAGGAGAAACAAGAAGTGAGCACTTAGTAAAATTCCCCCGACACATACACACACACTTACAACTCCACTGGGTTTAATCTGCATAGCTCTACATCAGCGTGTAATTTGGCCCTTTTAATTGCTCCTATAATGGTCCAGCAAAGAGCACCAGATCGACCTGCACTCAGATGTCTGTAAAGGCCCCTGATGAGGTTAAGTGCACAACATATGTCTTAAGTATCCCCCGGGTGGTTATATGACTTTAAAATGAAAAGACTGATGCATAAATGCAGCAGATTGTTGATCCTCAATGTCCAGTGCTAGTGTCAGCAGACAACTTGGAGGGGGTTGGCACAATAGTGTGAAACAGGGGGAGGGGGGCATTCACTTAGGGCTAGCGGGGGGTAACAGATGTAGATGAAACAGCCTCAGAGGGGAAAGCAGCAGTCAGCCTTCATAAAGCTGATGGAGTATAAGGCCAAATGGAGAGGAACTAGCAGAGACTGGTGGAATAAAGAGCACAAGGCAGCTGCCTTCAGCCAGTTCAAACAGGAGAGACAGTCAGGGCCATAACCAGGATTTATGGAATACTTAGGTTAGTCCCCAACGCCTGGACGAAAAAAAGAAGAAATACATGTTATTTGTTTGATGTTCAGTTATATTTTCTGCATGTTTTATTTAAATACAGTTCATCTGAGGGAATTCCTTTGGATATTAACAACTGCTTATAGCACAACAAAGCAAACTCTGAGAGGCCTGTTTTCCATAGTATTAGTACTAGATAACACAGTTCCTTCTGAGAAAGGTTTCAGGAAAACAGTGTTGTAAAACTCTGATGACAAATATTAAACTCTTTATTTTATTCACCTAAAATTTAAAACACTAAGACCAGCCTTCAAAGAACCCACCCTCCCTCCGGTCAGCTAAACCTCACCATTTCTCCCCAATATGTCAGAGCACATGACCTCACTGGTGGCCAGCTAACATGCATGCATGACAAAAATAATATATTACTAATTTTATGACATTTCAAAACTTAGCAATAGGACACCCATGCAGCATCTTTCTTAAGACCTACACTCATTCTCATATGATCAAGAAAAGTTTGTTTTAAAATACACTTTTTCCTTGAGCTTTTCATTAACAGGAATAAAGGATGCATAGTGACGGGGGCATTTAACATAAAACCTGCTGATATCATACTGAGGAAACAAAGAGTTTGATTCCAGAAATAAAGACATCTCAGAACTCTTCATCGTACTCTTTGGGATTCAGTATGAGAGATTAATGAAAGGATACAAAAAGCCATAATGGTTTGGTTTCTATTACACACCTATCAAGATTTGATGCTCAGACGTGGCAACATACTGCGAGTTACGGCCTACAACCTGTAGCACCGTCATCTCATCAATTAGGTACAAACACAAATCAATTCAACAATGTCTTTTAAAACAAACTGTGATATCAGAGGCACAACAACCAAGGCCCCCAGCTCCATGTTAACATACAGTAAAAAATAAACACTTTATGACACAGGTTCAGGATGTAGCCACAAAAATACAAGGCACAATGTTAAAAGTAATGATAATTCAGTAGTTTGGCTGTGATGATAATCCCACTGTATAGTAGTTACTGGCTATAATTCTAATGCTAGGGTGGGCATTAAAACTCAGTTATAAATGGCCATTAATTATCAGAGAGGTGAGAGGACAGCCTTTCTCTGGAGAAACTCAATACTAGAAGAATACATCTACAGAGAAAACAGTACTCCATATTACCATGTTGTTGCATGGCCTGTAGTTACCACTGCTTTAATTCACATAAAGATAGAAAGGTTCCCCCTAGGTTAAGGATCAGCAACAAATGAAAGCATTAACACTTGAGCTGGCAGAGATTTATGGTCAGACTCTTTAACAGTGTCACACAGTTTATTTGGAGGCACTCAAAGTGGTCAACATGCAAACAGGACATGATGCTGCTGTAACCACTGCCACAGAAAAGCTGAATAAAAGGTACATCACAGTCTCAGTCTCTAGTGCCCACAAATTCAGTTCAACACAGGTGCTTCAGTCCTCACTAGAATCCTCTGAGTTGTCCATTTCCACATCTTCCCATGAGGCCTTGGTGCGCTGTTCCCAGCTCCTGGCCTGGGCGAGCACAGCAGGGGGCATGAGCACCACACAGGCGGCCAGGCCAGAGACTCGCTCCTTAAACTCTGTCTCGTTCTCCCACTCATCTGTATCCGCGTTGTACATGTGAACATATTTCATCCTGTTGCCTTTATCATGAGAGCGCCCTCCCAGGATGTAGATGTGACTGTTCAGCACAGCTACGCCCGGTTCTCCATGGCCAGCAGGGATGGGGGTCATTAAAGACCAAGAGTTGGCAGTGGGGTCAAAGCATGCCACCTGAAGAAAAAAAAAGGCAAGGGGGAGCGGGGGTTCATTAATAAAAGTGCTGTCAAAGCTGTATTAACCTCCATCAAAAGGTGCCTCTCTGGCATATGATACCTTCAGGACATCACGTCGATATCCACGCTCATCATTGCTTCCTCCAATAACATAGATGCATCCGTTGACAGCAGCCATGCCGTGCCACGCCCGCTCCACTGGTCCTTCTGCACATGCTGTCCAGTGATTGGCTGTGGGGTCAAAACAGTAGGTTTCTCTGAGGTACGTCATTCCTCGGCGCCCACATGTTATATAAATTTTCCCATCCAGCACTGCTCCAGCGTGGGCGTAAACCTGAAGGGAAGGTTAGTATTAATGGAAATTCAAGGAAAGGGGAGCACTTGGTGTACAACAGGAGAGTCCAATTAATGATACGCAGCCTGGTGTGTAGCACCACCATGTGCATGGCGGCAGGATTACATGCATTGATTTCCCAACCATCTTTCAGATCACTTCTCTTACTTCTCTCTTTAGGGGTGACACAAATTCCCACATATTGGTGTGTGGGTCATAGCGCTCCACTGAGTCCAGTTCACTGCTGTAGTCTCGCCCTCCGATGGCATAAATATGTCCGCCCACCACACATACACAATGGTCAGCATGCTGCTGCTGCAGAGGCTGGATGGCGCACCAGCTGTTGTGACGAGGATCATATCTGGGTAAAACAGACACATATCAAAGTAACCAAGGAGAAATCCGACTCCAGAAATTCCATTTTCAGTATGACCTGTCTCACCACAAGGTCTATTTCTCTTGTTGTCTTTTGATTGCATCACATGATCTTCATCAGCAGATGGAGTATGCCAAGTTGTCACAGAAAGGTTGATGTTCAAATTGGCTTTTTTTTTTTTTTTCTGAGCGCTTTTTCATCCACTGGTGAAGATGATGTCACACGAAGAGCCAATAAATGAACCTGGCAGTGACACTGTGTTTTGAAGTGCTGCTTCTAAGGTCAATGATGAACTTTGTACTTCAGCCTTTGAGCCAAAATGGAAAAAAGGCTCTTAAAGAGTTCAAAATGAACACTCGAACATCTACATTTGCATGAAAACACATCTGTTGATGAAGATCATGTTATATGACTAAAAGTTCTTGAGCAGCGAATTAAAATTTACTTGGTCTAAAACACACTCAAAAGGGAACAAAATTAGAGCTGAAACAATTAGTCAATCAATCAAATAGTCAAATCCACAAAGAATTGACATAACATTTTTGATAAATGACATGTATCTGAGGATGTCGCCATCAGCTCTGAGCTACTGTTATGTTTTATAGACTACATGGTTATTTATGTAAGAAAGGTCAACAGATTAATCAATAATGAAAACAGCTGGTAGCTGTAGTCCTATATTGATCACAATATGAACCAATCATTATGTTTGTGTTCTTTTTAATAGAACAAATGTTCCTGTGGTGTCTCACCTCCAACAACGGGTTTCTGCTCGAAATCCACTGGTGTTCTTGTCTCCCCCAATAAGATAGACAAAGTTGTTGAGCACAGCGATGCCTTGGTTGGACATTCGGGTGGTGTGAGTTGCAGTGAGAGTCCTCCACTCCCCCCAGCTCGGGTGGAACACCTGAACCAAGTGTTCGCTGTTTGTGAGGGAGCTGGAGCTGAACATTCCCCCAAAGCCCAAGATACAGTGAAAGGTGGAGCGTGGCTGGGTGAGAGGATTCTGCAGGACGGGCTGCCACACCTCCTGCTCGTGGTAGCGCAGGGCAGCCGAAACAGAATCCTTCAGTGGACACTGGTTCAGTCTGCTATGCAGCCTCTGCAACACTTTTTTGTCAATCAGGCAGAAACGCACAGCATCAAGCATCTTGAGATTGTCCTTTAGGTGAAAAAAAAAAAAGGTAATTCAAGCAGCTACAGCTCAGGCAATGTGTGGGCAAAACTGCAACACAATAAAACTGAGCAGGTATACAATCAACAACAGTGATGTGTGTATCTGATTAAACCTGAGAGATGAGTACAGAATGAGGACACACCTTGGCACTGACCTGCAAGTACACCTGGTCAGTTTCCAACTGCTCAGCACTGTAGTGGTAATGAAGTGCTGCATCGTACACCTCATTCTCAGTGTTTACGTGAAGCTCATCACTGCTCAGCGCTCGAAAGACTTCATGTTGGGGTAGCTGGCGATACGCGTCAGTTCGATACAATGTCTGAATGTTCCTGAGGATATAGGAGTGGACCCTGGCATTAAGTTGCTGCAGTCCATAGACATCAGCTAAATGAAGTACCTCCAAAATGTTGCCCTCATCCAGCCAAGAAAAGAGGTAATCACAGCAGAAGCCAATGACATTCTCTATCTTTAAAAACAAAACAAAAAAAAAACAAACAACAAAAAAAGGACAAAAGGTTAGCTGATCAAATTAAATAATAAACCACTTAATTTAGCAAAAGAGCAACAGTTACTGACCTGCACCAGTGTGGCAGCTATCAGGACTTCCTGAACGCACTCCAAGTCTAATTCAATCTCTGACGTGTAGATATAGTCGAGTATTTTTTTCATGGCCATATAGGATACTCCATGAATTGGAATTTCCTTTTGCTGAGTCTCCCGCAGGCCTCCAGCAAACATTCCCCTAGTGGAGAAGAGTAGTGGATTGTTATGTTGGGTCAACCTGGTGGCCCAGTGATGAAAAGATGCATAGCATGTAGCCACAATGACTCGAGTTAGAATTCTACCAGGTACTTTGGTTACACAATATCCACATCTCTGTGAACTCTGAGGTGTCCAATGAGGACAAAATTGAAAAAAGAAAAGGCTCAGAAATCACATTACAAGTGAGGAAAACAATTATGATGCTGGGATTTCTGGACATTTCACAAATCCTTCATAAGCTTTCATCATAATATTTGCTAAAAACTAATATAAAGTACAAAGTGATAAACTAGCCCCAATATTCTTTGCCTTCACATTCAATACAGCTATTTCTATCACTTCTAGCTTCATACACTTGGACATCAGTGACTGTATCTGAGAGCAACAGCAAAACCCACAACATAAAGCTAAAATAAGTGCAGATCATATGACAATAATGATAAGCTACAGGGGACGGTGCACAGTAGGACTGTACACAGCATGTTTAAAGTGGACTCTACACCAAGCCTTGGCTGTGTCTTGTGATGTGGGGCTGCAGACACTAGTCTTCACTGATTAGATTGTGCTCATGTCTGTAAATGAAGACATTCATAAGAATAAAACTAGTAGTGTAAAACAGCTAGACTGGGAATACACTTAGTACCCTGGGAAGCATAGTGGTCCCTGGTATACATTTGTATTTTGCCTAAACAGTGTGTTGCTCTGTCTGTACATTTGTTTTTAAGTTTATTTTGACTGTTTTCTAGATGAATGGAAATAAGGCTGGGGTTTGAGGAAATAAAAAAAAAAACTAAAGAAAAACAGAAATGAGTGAAGAAATTGAAAGTAAAAGGCTTGCTGAGTTTTTACCTAAAATAATCGCAAGAGGCTGCCAGAAGTATACGGTGGGCTTGGATGGGTCGACCCTCCACCAGCAGCACCACATCAAACAAGACGCCATCCTGCCTGAGAGCCAGCAGGCCGTCCAGCAGGCTGCGGAAGTGGGATGAACTTCTGTAGGTTTGTCGGCTCGGGCGTCCTGACGAGCCAGCGTGTCCACCCACTGGATTCAGCTTTATATCCTCAGCCATTGCAAGATACTGATGTTCTGGCTTCATTACGTTCATCTGTCTAATGCTAACATCATTTTGAGTTTTCCCCTCACTTAATCTGCTGTCGGTATGAAGATAAATACAGAAAAGGGTGGGCAGCTAGAGGCTAAAGAAGTGTGGCTATGGTTGCTTTAAATGTTACTACATAGTCACTGTAACACCACAGATTTGTAACTAGTTGCACTGTGTACACGGTTAATGCTGTAACTTCATCTACAGAGTTATTGGAAAGACGTGAAACTAGATAGTGACATATACGCACTAACTCCTAGCTACCACGCTGCTAAGCCGTGAGCTAATGTCAACTTCAAGCACCGAAGAACGTGAGCTAGCAAGCTAACAGATGGTTAGCCTAAAAGCTCACATAACGCACTATAACAGCAAGCTGGACACTTAAAAAGCGGAGAAAAGACAGCATTAAAACATCTTAGTGTCCGTAAAAAGACCAACCGTTTCTTATTAAGCATATGATGACACCCAGTCCCTTTTCCTGACTTTCTGACAGATCAAAACAGGTCTGTTTACATTCTGATATGAGGCGGTGAGCTCATGCCACTACTGGCCACTACTGTCGTAGACGTTTGTCACGTGACACACCTTTAAAACCTTTCTTTTTCTTTTTTTAATAATAATAATGATGCGTTGATTTTGTCATTATATTCTCATTAGCATACCCCTGGCTAAGTTTCAGATTATTTACATTAATAAAATAAGCTTTTTAGTTAAATGATCTGATATGGTGACTCTTTGTGTCAAACACAAGAGGATGCTGTTGCCTACTCAAATGTCTATGTGTGCCTGCTGTCTCTTACTTTAAAGTGTCTGAAGTGAAAGCACTAATGAAAAAGAAAGGTCACTTTAAAAATGTTTAATTATTTATGTACTATTATGTGTGATTTATTTTAATGTAGCTCATTCAGGTTGTCTTTTATCTGACTAATGCTGTGTAGTTAGTCATTCTGTGTAAGTGGAGCCACTGAACGATATATTACAATTATACCCGTACCCATGTTAATGCATTCCATTTACTTTTCCTAAATACAGGACGTCTACTTGAAATGAGTACAATATGGTATTACTACATTCTTTCTTCACTACTGGCACTTACTTCAAAACGCAACATGGCACTGGAAACAAAAGTTTATTTAAGCAAGAAATACATACTGTATAATATCATTCAAATTTAAATACATTTTTATAACTCACTAATAAAAATATGATAAGAATAAAACAGTGTTTAAATCCTGCTAACTGTTTGCAGTATTGATCATTTTGGTCTCCAGCTGATCAGATAATTTCCAGATTTATTTTCCATTGTTTAGTAATTGCATAACTACAGACAGGATTCCCAAGGCAGCCAGTCATAATGCTGTTTTTATAAAAACCTAAGCTCCCATATTTCTCATGTTTTACAATCTCATTCATCTTCTGCTGAGGTTTCAATTTGCATATATCATTTCCTGACACAACGGATAGATTTTTTTCCACTTGCCAAAACACTGTTAATCCATAATCCATCACTTGATTTATAATCCAGTCTAATATACACTGCACTGGGGAGCACAAGGTGAATTTAAGCAGGGAAAGCGCCTCTGGCTTTCTGTCTTGGGTGCAGAAATGTCCTTTTCAAGTAGCAAATCATGGCTTTTTTTGCCCTGACATTTTGCCTGTATCTGCCATGTGACTTGAGAAACTCTATATTTTAGTTTCCTGAATAGCAAACACCACTGATGCTGTCACTCCACTAATGTTAGCTTCTACTGTATCAAGTCTTTGACAGCTAGACATGAAACTGTGATTAACCGACTCTCCAAGTCTCTGAACTCTACTGGAGGGATGAACACCATTCTTCTAACAGATATTCCCTCATGTGTTTTGATGATGGTGGTGGAAATGCTGTCTAACACGTTGCTCCACCCTCTCCCATAGGTGTTCAGCTGGTTTGCTACTTGCACTGCATTTTTCCTTGTCCTCAAATTATCAAAACAATCATGGACACACCCAAACACCACTTGTGCCAGAGCATCTTGATCAGAGGCCGTGGATTGTCAAAATCTATTGGCAGAGTCTAACAAGTGTCTGTCAAAATTCAGAAGTGGACAGTTGTTTAAAGCAGAGGGAGCAGTGTGAATTAATTTGTATCTAATGTATTATACACACACTCCCTCCTCTGTAATTCATAAGTTGAATGGGTGGCTGTAAAGTGTCTGAGGTGCGGTCCTGGCAGATGTAATGTTGCTGCAGTTACTGTGAAGTGAGCTGTTGAGATCAGTTTCTCTCTATACCTTCAATCCTGTAAGACAGCAGCTGCTAGTGCTGCTGTTTGGTAAAGGCTGCCCACCATCTTAAGATGGTAGCCAGTGGGTGATACATAATTCTCCTCAAATGAAACAGTGGGGGGTCATTTATGTTGCTACTGGACATGGGCAAATCTTCTTCAGTATATTTTGTTGTGATTATGAATCATTTTGTGAGAAATTGCAACAGCACTCCACAATGTGATAGTTTTGGGGAGTTTGCCATTTAGGTCTGTAAGGATTCATAAATCACATGAGAAAATACTGAAATGTATTTTTTGACTATAATGTCAACTCCCAAGTCAGCTGAAGTGGTGTCTCTTCTTAGGCCATGTCATTCACTGAGGCCAAAGTCATCTTTGGAAAAGACTGGGAGATTTTCCTGCCTCACTGGGGACGTAGGGAAAACAAACCACTGTTCCTGAAATATTCAAGCCTCCCAACAGTGCCTGTTATTAGTGCTGAAATGACAAGGATAAGCTTAGGTGAAACCTCAGTCATTCCACAGGATAGGCTGTCGCTGTTCACTTAAAGATGGTCAAGGACTGGATGCAACTTTATAGCTTATTGTGGATCATCATTTGTTTTTCTCACATGACAGGAAACTGGCATTTCCCAGGGGAAAGTATGACAAAACAACATGCAGAGACTTGATAGCACCAGATAGTGTGGCTGGACTGTGTTTTGACAGTTGCTCTCAATGGAGCGGTTCGGTCTGTGTCATGTCCAGTTTGTCTACACTGCTAATGGAAAATCAAAGGCAGTGGAAATAGCCTTATGTCTCTGACATGAAACTAATTTACATCATGCTCATTAAAACATGATCACTATGCACTTTTTGTAAGATTTCATAAGCATCTCAGAAACATAGCCATGTGCAGTAACCCTGGTAACTGCCTCTCCAACTCCTGCAATGAGGCCACGTAGATTGGGACTGATGGTGGATCAAATTTTAATTGGGATAAAGCTAAAGTACTGCTAAGAACCTAAGTGGGTGTTTGGTCATAACTGCTATGTGTAAGTGGGTCTGGACTCAAATTGAACAGGGCTTCTGGGGATCAGGAGCAACTTACTGTCTTCCCTCTATCACATTATGTTACTTCTGAATTCAGTTTTCACCTCTTGCTATTGGGATGAGGGCTATTTTGGGGTATGAGAGCCACCGTCTTATTCACTGTGACAATGTTACAGTAAATTCTGAATTATATGCCGACACTGAGAAACAATGAGGGAAAAGTGAGGTAGTAAAAAAGATTTGTCTCTGCTGCACACGGACGTGACTGGAGCAAGGCAGAATACTTACGTGGCTTTAGAAAGCAGGAAGGACATGCAGAACATTTATATGAATTAAAGGATGAGGAGGGTCAGCAGATCTAATGCACACTGGATTGATTCTACCTTTCAGTCTGCAAATACAATTGTGTTTTAATAAACCCTAATCTCAGTCTCTTCTCAAGTCTATTTTTCTTTCCTGTTCCTCTCTCTTTTCCCCAGTTCAAACCACTACACTAGATGTACCAAAAAAGAAATCAGTTCCTTTCATGTCATACTTGACAGATTTTATGGCCCAAAACTATAATATTAAGTTTCAATTTTTGTTGGGACATGGAAACATATTAGGAATGAATGTGTAAAAGAGTCAGCACTAAGTTTAAAAGAATGGTTTGACATTTTGGGGAAGATCAGAAGATTACCACTCTCATGTCTGCATGATAAATAAAACTATAACCTGGAGTTATCTTAGTTTAGCACAAAGGCTAGAAATGAGATTTTAAGTGAAAATATGAACAATTAAAAGAACATTAACTATCTTGAAAATTGCTTGGGGTTTACTGTATATCAGTCAGTGTTGTAGTATGCAATTTGGACTTGAGCACTGATAAATCAGACTTGGACTCAGACTCGAGCATTGGCTGCATTCAGATTTGGAAGTCGAAGATGAGGAATCTGACTTTTCTCCTTTTTGTAATAGGCCATAGGACAACATGTATACCTAACACTAGTGCTGCCAGCCTTTTGTTCCTAACTACAGTATTCCTGATAGGCTGTGTGTTTGAAGCATATCCAGTGTTCAGAATATCAACAACAACAACAACAAAACAAATTGCACTGTTCACTTCTAAGTAGTGTGTGTGCTTACAAGTGTATTCATTTGGCCATTGTGCCACACACAATAAGTAATCTCCTTTTAAAACAATGAGAGCTGTGTCAGTTGTGTTTAATGTAGATGATTTGGACTTGGGTAATGGGGACTCAGCTGGGACTAATAAAAATATGAACAAATAAAAAGGGATGTATGGGACCTAATATAGGTAAGCAGGAGCATACAGACAAACCCGGACCTCTTTTAACAGTATTACATTTACACACAAATGTGATAACCTGCATTATAATTTACAATACTGATAGAAGTATCGATATGTACAGCAAATCATCATTATCTGGAAACTATTTGACATTATTCCTCAAAACAGTTTTTTTTTTTATATTTCTATTAATAATTGTTACATAAGCATTTTTCTTATCAACACTCTAATGCTAAGAAATCCTTTAGTTTTTGTTACACAACTATCAGAACTGAACTAAGCAGGAAGAAACCATGAAAATGTGGCAAAAAGAGCATCAGGTTTTTGGCAAGCATCATTTAGCTGTTCTGCAGGAATGTAATAAGAGTCTGTTCTTCATTCTGTTGATTAAATCTTTATTTCCTCTTCTCCACATTAGATCCCACTAGATGATCCCCTTAGTGATCAACAAACACTTTTTAAATAAACATTTTTTTTTATGTTTCTTTAACCTCATTTTAAATTAAACTGGAAGAAGTTTTTTCTTTTTTCTTTGTTTTGGATGGTTTCCGTTAGACTCTGTGGTGCCAGATTGATGACTTTAGTCTTTGGCACTGAAAAATGAAAGTTGACATTGAAAACAAGACCATAATTGAAAAAAAACAAACCCATAACTGAAAAAGCAAACACTGACATTGAAGCATTTGTATTGAAAACAACAACAACACTGACATTAAGAAACATATTGATACCGGAGACATCTAAATCTTTTCATTTTTTGTTAATGTCTTTGTTAATGCCAAAGTTGGTTTTTTCACTGACAATCTTCTGATTTTTTTTGTTTTTCAAACCCTTTCACAACATTCAGAAGTGTAAAAACACAGAAAATGTCAGTCTGTATTGTAACATCTCCCTTAACTATGAAATCAGACAATTCAAATCATACAATACAAATGCTTCAATGTCATTGTTTGCCTTTTCAGATATGGTTTTGTTTTTTTCGGTTAAGGTTTTGTTTTCAGTGCCAAACTTTATTTTTCAGATCCTGTAGGGCTCCTCCTTGCACAAAGGAGCCGATACTGGTCCTGTTGCTGGGTTGTTGCCCTTCTATGACCCTGTCCAGCTCTCCATGTGTAACAGTCCCCTGGTATCTCCTCTGTGCTCTTGAGACTGTGCTGGGAGATGCAGCAAACCTTCTTGCAACCTTACGTATGGATGTGTCATCTTGGAGTAACTGGGCTACCTGTGCAACCTGATTGGGTTCTAGGTACTGCCTCATGCTACCAGTAGTGACAAGGACTCTAGAAAAACAAAACCTGAGATGAATCAGGAAGGATAAGGAGAGAGAGCACCTGTCTGTGGCCACCACATGCAAAACCATTCTTTTTTTGGGGATTGTCTTGCTTTTGCCTCTTTATTACAAATGTTGTCACTTTCATTTGCACCAAAGCAGGTAAAACTGATTCACAACCCCTGGTGCTTCCTAAATGGACAGATTGATATCCCTGAAGTTTAACTGACTTGGTGTTATAGAGTGATGACTAAGTGTTCCCTTAATTTTGAGAGCAGATTATTTTGAAGCCTCGCTGTACAGAGGAGGATATTAAAGGCTGTTGAGATAGTTTTTGCACTTAAAAATACATACTGTAAGAACAATTGCTCCTCACTACTAATAAAAATGGATATGGGGAGCTAAAGCAGGAGAACAATTCATTGTTAATGGGGCAGAGTACTTTTATTGATAAAACTATTACCAATTTCTTCATAAGAACTGCTTGTATAAATGCCTTATATAAATGAGTCTCTCTCTGCACCCAAATATGGCCATATATGAATCAAAGTACATTATGAATTGTATACATGGACACAGGACAGGAGTCTAAACAGTTGATAGAGTATACTGAATCAAAGAAGTAATCAAAGAACACTTACAGTGGCAAGAAAAAGTATGTGAACCCTTTGAAATTTCAAGGTTTTCTGCATTCATTTGTCATAAAATGTGATCTGATCTTCATCTAAGTCAAGAGTACTGACAAATATAATGTGCCTACAAAAACAACAACAAAAAAAACATCTGATCTTTCATGTCTTTATTGAAGACACTCATTCAACATTCAAAATGTTACTGGAAAAAGTAAGTGAACCCCTGGAATTAAAACCTGCGCCTTGGAAGCAATAATCTCAACCAGGCACTTCCTGTAGCTGTGGATCAGACCTGCACATTGTTCAGGAGGAATTTTAGCCCATTCTTCCTGCAGAACTGCTTTAGCTCTGTCGTATTCCTTGGACGTCTCCCGTGCATGGCTCTCTTCAAGTCATTCCATAGCATCTCTATTGGGTTGAGGTCTGGGCTCTGACGTGGCCACTCCAAAAGGTGGATTTTGTTTTTCTGAACACTCACTGTTGTGGACTTGCTTCGTTGCTTTGGGTCATTGTCCTGTTGCATCACTCAACCTCTGCAGAGTTTCAGCTGATGTACAGACATTCTCACATTATCCTGAAGAATTTTTTGATACACTTGGGAATTCATCTTCCCCTCAATGATTACAAGCTGGCCAGGCCCTGATGCAGCAAAGCAGGCCCAAATCATGATGTTTCCTCCACCATACTTTAATGGTGGGATGATGTTTTCATGATGATATGCAGTGCCTTTCCACACCAGATGTAGTACTGCATGTTCTTTCCAAATAGTTAAATCTTAGTTTCATCAGTCCACAAAACATTTTGCCAATAACGCTGTGGAGTGTCAATGTGCTCTTTCGCAAACTTCAGGCGTGCAGCAATGTTCTTTTTAGTAAGCAGCGGCTTCCTTCATGCTGTCCTGCCATAGACACCCTGCTTGTTCCATGTTTTACGTACTGTAGACTCATGAACACAGATGTTATCCAGGTCCAATGATGCCTTCAAATCTTTGGCTGTCACTCGCGGTTGTTTCTTTACCTCAGTGATGAATCTTCATTGTGCTCTTGGGGTCATTTTGACTGGGCGCCCACTTCTTGGTAGAGTAGCCACAGTCCCATGGCTCACATAAGCATATTCTTCTTGTGTGGAGCCAACACAAAAGGTTTGAGTGGTTTTTATCAGTCAAAGTAGCTCTAGTCCACACCTTCAAACTCATTTTCTTAACAAGACTCCAGGTATGCTAACATCTGGCTCCACTTAGCTTTTTTGAGGTCATTAACTCACAGGTTCACATACTTTTTCCACTAGCACTATGAGGTTTTTATGATTGTTCTCAATAAAGACATGAAAGATCAGAATTTTTTTGTGTTGTTAATTTAGGCACATTATATTCGCCAGTACTCTTGACTTAGATGAAGATCAGATCACATTTTATGACAAATTAATGCAGAAAGCCATGAAATTCCAAAAGCTTCACATACTTTTTCTTGCCATTGTAGATATTTCAGGTAATGTTTCAGAAATGTTTAAAACATGTTATCTGTTCTTGTTGTCTAAGTCAGAGCAAAAGCCATCTACCTTCTGCTGAACTTCCCCTTTTCCCTTTTGAAAGTTATTCTTCCTTTCCAGATTCCACAAGCATCTCTGGCTGCACTTTGTCCTTGAGCCCATGAACATGTCACTTATCAGTCACATTAAAATGGTGGACACACTATCATAAAACAATACTCAAAGGAATGTTTTCCTCTCTCCTTCTGTCAAAACAACAAGCAAAAGTAAATGAATAAATGAATGTGAGTGACAGTAGTGAAGATTGCACAAGGGGAGCGGTAGCTTGCAACAGCCATTCCAAGTCTCAGTATATTGTAGAGTAGCTCAATAGTACAAAATCAAAAAAAAAGATTTTACAAAAGCCCAAGACTTTTTCAATATTCCTGCTTTTTTTTCTGAAAAATATGTGCATATATTAATGATCTCCAGTGACTTGACACCTGCATCTCTGTGTCAAGTAAACACCCACAGAGCTGTTGTTGGCGGTGGCAAGTCATTTCACCGTTCTGACTCTCAGAGAAACTGTTCTCTCAAGCTGCCTCCACTTGAAACAGGAGTGTGTGGGGACAGTGTGAAGAAGCAGTTAACAATCTGGTGCACAAGCAAGAGAGGTGCAAAGAAAGGGTTTAAAATAGTTCTAGGTGTGAGCTGCAGAGGGATCCACACAGAGAATTTTAATTATGATGTTTCAGCCACTTTGGATGTGGAGAATTATAGGCTACGTACTGTAGGCTATCATAACACCCGTGTGGGTGATCAGGGCTTTGAACTGCAGTAAAGTAATAAACAGGCACTGCACACTTATCACAAGACAAGGTTAATGACCTTTGTAACTAATCAGGAAGTTGGTTCAGAAGCTACATGCAATATCCATTATTAAATGTCAACAGCATAAAATTATTATAAATTTTCTAAAATGTACCCTATGCACAGGTAACAAAACATGCTTCACTATAAGATCACAAGATTATGACTTTAAGTCCTCTGTAACTGATACTCAGACATACTATTCATAAATATTTTGCACCCACAGACTAAAATCATGTTAAACCTGCCTTGTTTTTGTTTATTTACAGCGGACTACATTCACACTGTTCTTAATGTGGACATAAAAACACAAACTAATATTTTTTACAGGGTGCACAGTGTAGTGTAGACATTTTACAGCAACCTTACCCCTAGGAATTTTAAGCATTCTATCCCAGTCATATCATGTATGATTAGAGTCATTTGGGATTTATATAACTTCCCTCATTAATGTGAAGGCTCAGCGACTCTTTACATCAAGACTCATCTAATACAATCTGGACAAGCAAACCATGTGGACAATTTTCAAATAACTCAGCTTCCTCACTAGCCCCGGTGTGGGTACCTTCTGGATGCGTGTACATGCGTTCTCGCTTATAGGTCCGTGCAAGCAACCGAGAATTTATTATGTAACATGTTGCCAATCACATCTATGAGTCTGAGGCATAAGGGCGCTTTAAGAGATATCTCAGTGGGTCTAGGAAGACACCTCCTACTTTCTCCTCGACCAAAGCCTCTCTTGTCGCTCCTGATGCAAAGCAGTTCTCAAAGTCCCAGGACAAAGGACATTTGGGTAAGAAACAAATGCTAATTTGACGGCTAATTAAAATACAACGGGCTTGTTACTCTTTTTGGGGCGGTGGACTACCTGAAAGTAGGAAATTAGATTTCCTAAAAGGCTTAGTAATAATTTTATTGATGACAGGCTACGACAAAGCTGTAATGACTTCAGAAAATCAGTCTATTTTTTTCATGTGTCTTTATGATGCGTAGCCTATATTGAGTTTTAATATCGCAATTTCCTGTCCATATCTATACTGATGGGATTTAGAGTTTTTCTTCTTACCTGCCGCCGGACACTCTGCTGTGCATGTGAGATGTTAAAAGTGTAAGTAGGGTTGTTTAGTGGACATCAGTAGATGGAAACGAGTGATGGGTTTCTCCGGGACAGGTGGTCAACACAGGGGGACAGAGGAGCGTCCTCCACCTGTCCGGAGCTGCCAGCAGACACACAGCTGCAGACGGAGAGTGAATCCAGCACAGCTGCACATGACCGAGGGTACAGTAGTAAGCACTCCTACACTTTGCATCCCTTCCTGTGGTTTTCATCCTCAGGTGCGTGATGTCGATCGCCTTTTCTGGATGAGCGACTTGTTGTTTCTGTGTCACGGTTAAGTGGTTTAGTGATGTGAGGGATTACAAGTTTCAACATCTCTTTTTTGAGAAAAATCCCCATGAGCTCTAATTTCTTTGGTTTTTCTGCTGACCTCACAGTTCCTCTCCTATAGTCTATTCTTAATGTTTCTCTCTGGGCTGTTTCTGTGTGTTATCTGCACATGATGTGTAATTTATATTAAGTCTCATGTTAAGTATTATTAATGTCCTTAGTAATAGTCCTTGTTCTTTTCCTTGGACTGTCTTCTCCCAGAAGACACAACACAAAGCAATGCATCACTTTAAGTATCCAAAGTCTGCCATAAATAGTCAGCATCAAGGCTGCAGAATGGGCAGGATATATGGAGCGCATATCCAGAAATTCAGCCAGGTTTTGTCAGGTCGACACCCAGGAGGGACTAAATTATCCAGATACCTATATAGAGAGGGCTGCGTACCTCAAAGGACTCCAAGTGGTATTACTGTAAGCTTCATGCACAAGTGTTTACTTACTTACTTACTTATAAATACTTTGTTTATGATCCCCAAATACAAAACAATAGAGTATGATAGGACAATGATGCTTAAGATCATTTAATGGCCCACCTGTCAACATTTAGGAGTCATCCATTAAAAAATGATAAGTTCCTTCAGTGTTGTATATTTCATTCATTCACCCATTTTCTACCGCTCAGTCCCTGAACGGGGTCATGAGCCAATCCCATCCGGCAATTGGGTGAAGGCGGGGTACACCCTGGACAGGTCTCCAATCCATCGCAGGGCTAACACAGAGACGAACAACCACACACATGCACACACTCCTATGGGCAATTTAGAGACACCAATCAACCTAAGCTGCATGTCTTTGGACTGTGGGAGGAAGCCGGAGCACCCGGAAAGAACCCACGCAAGCACGGGGAGAACATGCAAACTGGGGGGGGGGCCCAAACCCAGAACCTTCTCGCTGTGAGGCAACGGTACTAACCACTGCGCCACCGTGCTGTATATTTCATTCTGGGGTGTAAAACTACTCTGTGTGCAGACATAAATATGCATGTGTGCTCGGTGACAATGAGAGCTGTCACTTTCTTTACAGACAGAAAAAGAATAAACTTCTGTTGAAAAAAGATGAGAAAACAGTTTAGATGGAATGATTGTCTCAGAATTGCCATTACTGGGATGGAATTTTAAATCAGAAAGCCATTATAGCAATGTCACAAAGTCTGGGTCTGCACCGTTTTCTTGATTATATGCCATCAAAACATAATTTGTTCTTATAGCCTGTACTTGAGAAGATGGAAAACTTCATGTATTCTACACACCAACAATAATTATTCCTGTCGAAAATCTCTGCTTTTGCTTTATTGAAACCTCTGCAAGTGCATACAAAGGTGAAATCGGACCACTTAAAACATCTCAGCACCTAAAAGACACGTGTGAAATGACACCCTAGAGTGCTGTGAATTTAAAATCCTGCCCTGTAGCAAGAGTCACCTTTTGACACACACATTCTTATTTAAAAGAAGGAACAGTCCAATGATTAAAAGAGAGTTACATTTCAATTTGCCTGATAAACCAGTCCTTAAAATCTCAAGAGTTGCCTTTAAAAATAGACTTTTTATGACGAAAAAATCTTTAAAAGTTGCTCATTTCTTTTTCTTTTTTCCAGGCAGAAAATGAAGATTGCTGTAAAGATGGCCAAAATTTAAGGATGAGGGAAAGCTGTGAAAAATCCAGATATTATTCATGAAGTAATTACAGCAGGTGTGACACAACATATTACTTCATTTAGTTCCCAGTCTTTGAAGTGAGCAGGAAAACCGTCATGGAGCCACAGCACAACACCAATCACAACCAAGCCTTGCGGAAAGAGATGCCACGGGATTTCACTGAGGACTGCTCACTCACAGTGAGTGGCACCACCTTCCTTATTGTTGCTTACAGTACAGTTATGGCGGTGGGTCTCATTGGGAACTCTTGCCTGGTGTTTGTCATCACAAAGCACAAGGAGATGCGCAATGTCACCAACATTTTCATTGTCAACCTGTCTTGTTCTGACATCCTCATGTGCATCGTCTGCCTGCCGGTCACCATAGTTTACACTCTGATGGACCGTTGGATTCTAGGAGACACCCTCTGTAAGCTCACGCCCTTCATCCAGTGTATATCAGTGACTGTCTCCATCTTTTCTCTCGTCCTCATCGCCATGGAGCGCTACCAGCTCATTGTCCATCCTACTGGGTGGAAGCCTGTGGTGACCCAGTCCTACTTGGCCGTGGCTGTCACCTGGATCGTGGCCTCCCTAATCTCAGTGCCTTTTCTCTCATATAGCGTACTTGACTTGCCTTTCCAGAACCTAAGCACCCCCTTACTGGTCAGTGACCATCTTATTTGTATGGAGAAGTGGCCAACGCTTCAAGAACGGCAAGCTTACACAACCTCCCTTCTCGTCTTCCAATACATCCTTCCTCTGGTCCTCATCATGGTCTGTTACCTGCACATCTACTTGCGCCTCAGGAGGAGGAAGGAGATGAAAAAAAGATAAACACCATGTTAATCACTATAGTGGTGGCATTCGCCCTCTCCTGGCTCCCTCTCAACATCTTCAACACAGTGTTTGACTGGAACCATGAGGCCATCCCCTCCTGCAGCCATGACATCATCTTCTCATTCTGCCACCTCACTGCCATGGCCTCCACTTGCATCAACCCCATCATCTATGGTTTCCTCAACAGTAATTTCCAGAAACAGCTCAAGTCTACTTTGTTGCGCTGCAACTGTTGGGTGGTGACAGAGAGGTACGACAGCATTCCGCTCTCCACTGTCAGCACAGAGGTCACTAAGGGGTCAGTCTTGAGCAATGGATCCACGAGCATCAATACTTAAACCCAAATTGTTTAAATAAAAGTCAGAGCAGCTACTGGGGTATCCAGTACCCAGCCCTCATTGTGTCATCCTTTAGAGCTCTTCTTGCTGCATTGCATGCAAAAGCAAGGGTGGCATTTACAAAGTTATAAACTTTATAATAGCAGCTGTGTCCACAATTCACTACGAGCTCCCATGTGTGAGGAAGTAAATATTAAAATGATGGTGCAAAGGCTGGACGACTTGAAGTATTGGAGGGCAGCTGAAGACACTTTACATGAACATCTTTGCAACTGTAGTCTGCACAGCCCATTCCCTATGTGCTGTGGGCATATCTGAATGAAGAGACAGCATTTAATGTGATGTATACACGTTTTCTTTCTTCAGCACTGGCATCCACACAGAAATCCTGTTGAAATAACTATCAGCTCTTCAGGATTTGCTTTTCACATTTTTACCTGCTGTAAATGTGGACAATGGGACAATAGGAGAGTTTTGAAAGGACAGAGGGTTCGGGGGTTGCACTTTTCAGTGTTGCTGCTTTGTGTTAATATTATTGTTCAAAATGTTAAGGGATTGTGAACTGTGATGTGTTAATGATTATCGACAGAGTAGCTTATTACATAGCTGAAGAAGAGAGCATTAGTGCATTAAATATGGCTGCAGGCATTCATTCAGCTGACACACTATAGCATCATCTTAATGCATTTTTATTACCTAAAATCAGCATAAACAATGTAATGAGCTTTAACAAAGACCCTTGGCAAGAACTATATAGAGTATATTTCTGCTGCCTAGGTCTGCGTGCCAGTGTATTGTGTGTGTGGGATGGCTTTTCTCATAAACTGTACCGTACAACAACTGTGTATCTAGTGCCATGTAACAAAATAGAAATGACAGTAAAGGACGTTGCCAAAGCAGGGCGTTTTACTGTATATAACAATATTACATACATGTATGGTCTGTAAATGGTATAGTTTATGGTGTGGTTGGCAATAAAGAGCATTGTGTAGCATAGCAGATAAGCCTGTTGTTGGTCATTTTTCTTTGGGGTATTGAACAGAATTAAAACATTTACTATTGTCTTGAAGCATAATGTTTATGTTGTACTGCATTTATTTGGTGGACAAACTTCAGGTCCACCTTGCTTTCTGAGTGTGTGTTAAACATAGAATTGATTTTTCACTTTCACCTTGTAGGTAATTTCATTCATATCATTCTCAGTGTTTAACTAATAACTGATTGGTCCCAAGTCCCCCATTACAGGCAAAATGGTACACTGAGACCAGACTGCATCATTTCCACTTTAGGAAACAGTGTGGAGGGTGGGATGCTAATTCCACCACCTAATGCAAGACAGATTTATTTAAACATGAGCTAATCAAAACTTGCATGACATGCCAGTGTTTTAGTATAGGATGTACAGAACACTTCTAAAGATCCAACATTTGAAAATAGTTTGCTTCTCTCTGAGGTCAAAGTTCAGTGTGCTGTCTCTGTGTGCATTATTCAGGGGTAATTCTGAGATCATTCATAGCACATTTTCGATGTAGAGTTGAATAAATCAGCGTTGTGTTTGGTACCTTAGAAGTAAAACAGCATGAGGAGGAAAAAAACAGCATGAGAGATCAGTGGGAATTGTGCTAAATATTCATGCTGAGGGAATGGATGTTAACAGTTACACTTTTACAGGTTGGAAAAAAGAATTATCAACTGAGCGCATAGGCAGATATGGAAAATTTTGGATGTGGTGGACAGGCTGGGGCACAGACTCAGAGATGGGTGGCACATTTGAATATATGTAAAAAAAAGTAAATTAAACTTTTAGTTCTATGAAAGAATAAATCATATATTACTGATTTGTTTTATTTTGTCTAAAAATGAGACGCACAGTGCTTTCTTTAGCTAACTTTGGCTGTGCTCTTTATTTACTGCTAACTGGGGACTGCTGCTGCACAGTGATTCCCCCCACTGAAACAAAACATGCCAAGTGCTCTTCAACAACAACTAGATATCACATATTTTGTATCTTTCTGCATGCATGATATAAAATAAAACACATTTGACAAATATCAATTACAAAGCACCAGAAAAACATTAGTTGTATTTAAGGCAGCAATTGGTCATTGTTTTTCATTTTTTTATTCATTAATACTGAGAAGCATCACATTTTGACCAAGGCAGGGCTGGCACCAGGGGGCAAATCAGATACTGGGGGTGGCTGGTGCCGCCTCTGGCCACCCCCTTGGCTCTGCCAATGACTGAGCAGGATGTGATGGACCTTCTAGTTTTAATATGCCAGGTGGTCAGAAAAGCCAAACTTGTTTTGGACTCACACAACTACCAAGGGCAGTTTAGCCTTTAATACCCCTTTTCGACCAACACAAACTAAGTGCTAGTTCTGAGCTGGAGCTAGAGCCACTTCAGAGCTAGTTCCACTTGCGACCCTTCTAAGAACCAATTAGTCTTTCCATGGGATAGAGAGCCACCACAGAGCTGCGTAGTTACATTACTGTATATGTCTGACATAGTTTTTGCTTTCCCAGCAATGCTAGCACCAAGCACAATAACAACAATGGTGGACTTCAGTGTCTCCCTATGGTGTCTCCTTTGTAGTGTTGTTCCTGGCTTTGTGATCCTACATTGGCATCTAAACACGACCAGCGCATGATGGTCCAGTCCATTTATGCTGCTTGTAATGATTTGATTATGTATGAGAAGGTAATTACCTAACATATTTTGATTAAATGTATAATGTTAGCCTTAGAAGAAGAAGCTTTACTTTACTGTCATTGTGACACGTACAACAAAATTTTGTTTGGAGCCAAGGGCCACTGCGTGTGTACCCGTTGCCATCACAGGCAACTTGGGGGTTCAGTGTCTTGCCCAAGGATACTTCGACATGTGGACTGCAGGCACCGAGATTCGAACCTTCAGCCTTCTGGTTGGGAAGCCACTGCTCTACTCACCACTTTTAGCCAGTTAACAGTTTGTCTCCTCAGTAGTCCAGTGCTACATTGATTTCATGTCAGTGAAACCCATGTTTTTCTTTTGGTATTAAAAGTTAAGCAAGACCACACTACTCTCCTGCAGTTTTTTTTTTTTATCACACAGTTTTAGTTGGTCTTGGTCACAATAATTCTACCCCCAGCTCCTGACATAAGCAGCTCTTAGTTCTAGACAGGCAGAGAGCTGGTGCCAAGGTAGAACCAGTTTTCCTGGCCCAGAGCCAGTTCTTTGGCTGTTGAAACACAAAGAACTAGTTCCAAATTAGGCACTGGCTCCAAACCAGCCCGAGAACTGCCTTGGTTGAAAAGGGATAAAGAGCCCTCAGAGATCCTTGTCACTATTGACTTTGTGCATCTGCTGCCTTGCCCTGAGCTGACCTTTACTTTAAGGCCCCTATCCTTCCTCTCACCTGTCTGAATGAAGCAGTCATTTTGTTTGGAATAAAGGATCCAGGATGTTGGAGGTGCTGATGTGCTCCAGTGACACTTGACAATGAGTGGAACATAAAAGATACTGTTTTACGTTACTACCTGAGAAAACTGTTGAGGGGCTATGGGCGCATTAATGTACTATGAAATTAAGCTCAGCTGGAGACAAACACTTAATGAGCTCACAGGGCCAGACTCTCCTTGTCAGTGGAGCACTTCCAGAAAAATTAGCGTCTTGGCTCTCTGCATTTTAATTTAGACAGATTCTCATATAAACAACCTCTCTAGATCACAGGAACAACATGAACTACATAGCTAGCTGGAGATTTCCGCAAGCTGTTGTTTTGGAAATTGAATTCTCATCAGTCACATATTTTGCCTGGTGTGCTACTGTGAGAACAGGGTACAGTTTATCCTGTTTTGTCTTGTTCTGAAATTAAGGGTAATGATAGTTTTCAGTGCTCTCTGCTGTTTTGTCCAAGAAAATCCTGCCCCTGATGTGTGAAACCTTCTGCACCAACAGGAGGCTGCAACAGTCACCATATAGAGGAACTACAGTACTCTATAATGTGAATCTAAAGGGTCCATACTAAGCCTGACTAGGCTAAAAATAATTTTAAAAATTTTCAGTAGAATATCCTGCATGCAGTGAAGTCAAAGTCATTGACCCTGTCCATCTATGATCCTTTGTGAGAGTGAACCAATCATTTTGTTTGTTTTTGTCAGGAGTCAGGCTGCTGCCACTGGAATCCTAATCAAGGTATTCTACATATTAACACTTAGGATGCATTGAATCAGGCAGTTAGCTCATCTAAGAGTCCACACATAGCTCAGTGGATATTTGCTTCTTCTCTTGTCTTTCTATTGAACTGCCCTGCAATGGCTCTACCTTGTATCAGGTGCTTCCTGATTCATCAGTTCTGTGAGCATTTCCTGGTTTTGCCTATTTATTAGTAACAACAGGAATGTTTTTGTCAGCCCATTTATGTAGCAAACCCAAGTTACTCCACTTTTTAAAATAAATTTAGAAACATCTGTCATATACCGGAAGATATTATTGGGCCTCACGTTCCTCTGTGTATTTTGTAGTATTAATAACACACAGTTTTGTCTTGCATAACACAAGCAGACTTGACAGCCGGGAATAGCAAACGCCTGATTTGCATCAGACAGTTTTCCTCGGATTTGTTTAGTCACTGCATGCATGTGCACTGTTCGGAAAGAAATGATAGATAGATAGATAGATAGATAGATAGATAGATAGATAGATAGATAGATAGATAGATAGATAGATAGAGTTTTTACAATAGCTGTGCTACAAATTGTTTCTCTATAATCATGACCTGACAATTTTGGGCTTGGCCTCTGCATCTGACCTTCCATTTTTTGATCAGAAGAAAAGATATAGACCACAGCCTCCTTTAGTTGCCTAGTTACAGCTTCCTCTTGGGTTTCAATGAGTTTCCTTCAAGCTGATACAGAGCACCGAGCTATTAAAGGCACTTTATTAAACACTGACAAAGGGGCTTTGCCAATCTGAAGTTGTTGTAATGGAACCATTTCAGTGAGATTTCTTTCATGCTAGACAACAAAAGAAAGTGAGACTTAACATTTATTGCTGGGGAACCTTCCTTTTGACTTGAACTGACTTATCAAGGTAGAATAATTGTAAGAAATCTCTACAGAACAATAGGGGCTTTTTTTTGCAGCAGACATTTTGACATGTCATAGCAGGAAAGGCACACATATAATTAACAACATGAATGGCTTTATGAGGGCCAGTATAGTGCACATGCTGACTCCCTGGCATAGCTTCCTAGAACAGTGAGAAGAAAGAGATGACAGTATTAATACTCTATTAGGTGGAGACAGGAGGTGGTTAATTTGGCATAAAAAGTAGAGACAGGGAAACCACTGACATTTTGACTCTTTATAGAAAATGTTTTATAATGTGTTAACTAGTGATCTTTGAAAGTGCTGGTAGATGAAGCAATGACCTAATACAATACAATAAGTTGACCTCACAAACACGTCTTCATGATGAACAAATACAATAAAGTACAGTAATATTACAGTAAATTACAGTGTTGACAGGTCCAGGCTAATGAAAAATGCTGTAGATAAAAATTCAGCAGCAGTCAGACAGATGGTCCAGAAGTTTGGATTTTGTAGCAGATTATTTTATAAATCAGGGTGGACAGCATTGAATGAGAAGAAACAAGGATGCAGTTTCATGCTGTTTTATAGTGCCCTCTGGTGACTGAGTATTGTGGTCCTGATCATTTGCAGTAAAGTTTTGGATCAAATTTTTACTATACATGTTACATGTGTCCTTTTCATTATAAACATCTATGTTTGGTGCATTTAATCATAAGGATATAGCCTCTGGATGGAAACCTCCATGAACATTATATTGCCTTTTCACTCTCTACAAAACTATCCATCCATCCATCCATTTTCTAAACCGCTTAGTCCCAAACAGGGTCACGGGGGGCTGGAGCCAATCCCAGCCAGCTGCGGGCGAAAGGCGGGGTACACCCTGGACAGATTGCCAGCCCATCGCAGGGCCAACACACAGACGAACAACCACTCACACACACAAGCACTCCTACGGGCAATTTAGAGACACCAATCAACCTAAGCTGCATGTCTTTGGACTGTGGGAGGAAGCCGGAGCACCCGGAGTATAGAAATACCACCCATACTGAATTTATTGGCAGAAGATAAACTCTTTGATTACTCTTTGTAGCAGAGAGTTCATCAAGTCAAAAGTCTCCTGTCAACACAGACATGTCCCAAATCTTTCCTAACTCCTAAACTTTCAGTAGAGTTTTCTATGTATCAGGGACTTAAACAGCCACTGTTGGTGCATTTAAAAGGTCTTCAAGAGCTTCATCTGACTGATCAAGGACAGAGTTGTGGTGACGATGATGATCCCTCCCTCATGAGTCACACCCAAAAGTGGACGACTGCTGACAACAAAATGTATAATTCTGAGATTATGACTTCTTAATTTTAAAGTCTGTTAGCTATTGTTACCTTCACTTATTAAAAAAAAAAACTAGAAAAATCTAATATATACTGGAGGTGCTTTCACTGCTGTTACATTAAAACAATGTTTTAGTCTCCAATATGTATACAAAAAACCCTTGCCATTTCAGATAATTAACAAAAGACCATTTGTGGTGCAGAATCAGAATCAGCTTTAATTGCCAAATATATTGAGCATACAAGGATTCTGTCTCCAGCACAAAGGCTCTCTGTGTGTTTTAGGTAATAGACCATAGACAACTGACAATAGTATAGTGCAATCAAAGGTAGGGGAAGAGTGGGAGAAGGATTCAATGCTCTGTTATTAAAAACTTCCACCTGCAAGCCACTAATGTGCCCATCTTGCTCAGTAAAACTATTGCTTGTACAATTCTGCTGTATTCCATGCCATCAGGAAATCAGTTTTAAACAGTTGGGACATAAGTCCAAATATGTTGAGAATTTAAATGCTCTGAGACATTGATGTGAAAAATAAGTCGTGTTATTGTATAAAACATCAAGATTTAGAGGTGAAGCTAAACACTTGTCGTACAGTAAAAGAGTGTGCAGCTTGTGTTTTTGATTTGGATAAAAATCATGCAATAACCACAACACGTGTGACATGCTCATATCATAATTTATTGTAGAATCAAACAATAATCATTTTTTGTATGTTCTGTGTCCGTTTTCTGTGTCAGTGACACCGTCCTAAAGAACAAGAGATTAACTCTGTGAAATTAAACCAGGACCATGGCAGTTTTGAAATATGCAGCAACCATAAAAGTAAACACAGAATTAAAAATGAGGAAAACTTACAAGAAATCCTTTCATTCTGTAAATACTCGCAAAAGGCAATTCCTCTGCACAGCGCAAAATGCTGCAGGGTGTGTCCACATGTGGAAATCCTTCAACTATCTGCTGAAGAAAAAACATCACAATCAGCTTGTGAAAAGGGAAACAGGAGCATCCAATGCTTGGGTAAAGTGTGAGGAGCCATGAGAGTGATAAAATGCTTACACTGCCCAGTGTGTTCAGGCTGTTCAGTTCCCTCTTCCCTCCTGGACTCAGTCCAAACGACCAGTGCTGACAGTAGAGCTGTGGCACCAGTGTCCCCACAAGCAGCAGCCACAGTGCCATGGTTTTCACAGTCATTCTGGTGAAAACAGAATTTATTTTGGACATAAATGCATGAGTTATTTTTAAATTTTCTTTAGTTTAGACCCTGAAAACTGTCAAAGTTCCCAGCCCAACACTGAATTTCTTTTACCTTCTGTGCATAAGGCTGGCAGCTTCCCTGATTTATTCTCATCTGCAGTCCTTAGTGAATGCACTTTCACACTGGTTCCCTAGATTTATATAAGCCTACGCTGCTCCCATTCTTCTTAGACCAAATCTTCACTACAGGAGGTCACAGGATGGGATTAAGCAATACTTAGTGGCAACCTGCAGAGCTGTTTAAAAGCTTGTTCTCATGTAAATTTTACCCTTCCACAAAATGAACACGTTACATGGGATGTATTTTTGTGACAAACTGTCCGTCATGTCCAATTATTTCCAGTCCTTTTCTGACACTGAGGCATTTTTATAAAGTACAAACCACCAATTCATTCACAAATGAATACAAATCAATGACACTTTTTTCTTCTTCATAGCAGTTTATTTATAACAGTCATTTATGGAAATATATTTCCATGGTCGAGTGCAATAAGGGAGACCTACACCGCTCCCTGTCTCAAACAAAAACCAACCTTTGCCCCAGATTGCATTCACTGAGATGTATTAAAATAAATAATCATAGCTCTTTTATTGATTTTCACACTCAAGGTGAAATACACAATATGATTGCCTTCATCATTCACTCTCACAGGTTGGGTACCTACTATTGAACTGAGTGAATAATATTGCATTAGAGCAGCTTTGAGCTACAGCTAGAGAAACCTCACCATTCAAAGACAGAGCTCTTTACACATGCAAACAAGACACCGTCCAGTAAGAACGGACACGAGATCCTCAACACGCAACCTGCCTACTCTAATAATCATTTTCTGGGGAAGATTTGGAAGCACTGGATTTGATTTACATAAGATTACAAGCACCAAACATTTTTGGTGAAAAGATATAACAAGTTACAAGTTGACACTAACTTGTGCGAAGACATTCAAAGCATGATTAAGTGATATACATCGATACATGGAGCATTTTTCCAGGCAAACCCACGTTGACTACATGGACACTTGACAACAGCTTTATGTTATACCACACCAAGTTGGATTATATTCACAATAAGTAGTGCCACCTTCAAATGCATGCAATTGTGGATAACTCACTAATAAAAAAAGAGGTAGATTCACAGAGCTAAAAACAAGGGAAAGCTTTTAAAGAGCACACTGTTTGAAAGAAGGAAAAGGACAAACCTTACAACTGTAGATCAAGTTTTGCATACCCAAGCTGTGTTTATAACTAGCCTGCCGCATAGTTACACGATGCACTACTAGCACTTTTTGCCTTATAAACTGTGCTATAGTATGGCTTTGGCTTGCATTGCTTCCTTTAGAATATGTTGAATCCAGCAAAATTAAGTTACACACTTAAAGAGGAACACGTAACAACAATTATTGGAAAAGGACTCCTTTGATTTCTGCTGCAGCAGCATCCACTGACGCTCAGTGCTCTGACCCTGACTGCACACAGATGGTCTGATTCCAACTCCCATTAACACATCAAGCAATATGAAGTGAATATAACTTATGCAACACATTAAATGAGTATAGTCGTTGGATTGCATCCATACACATCTACATAGACTAGGAACATTTCTTTGTTTTGGTGATAAATGCAGCTGAACATTTAAAAACACTCTACCATACTAACATAAATCAACAACCCTGGATATATTCTAGTGCAAGATATTTAAAGCTAACATAATATTGGTGGAATGCCAGGGATGTGCATATAACTGCCTGTCCTGCAGACAGGTAGAGAGAGACTGATGGTAGGGGAGTGAAGGAGAGGCTGACTGGAGAAACAGAGTGTTAAAAAAGCCAGCCATGGTCCACACACTTGCAGTTGTGTTTTTAAGTTATCTGACACTCTGTGACATATGCAGAGGGGTCAGCATCTCTTCAAAAATTGCTCCTTTCACATTGGACCCTCTCAGGTTGGCTTCCTGTAGATCACAGCCAGACAGGTCACAGTTCTGTAAAGAGGCAGCACAGACAGGAGGATGAAATGGGATTGGTAGAGAAATGACTTCAATGATCTATTACAGTTATTGCTGGTTACTTTTCTGCTAATCAGATAATCATTTCCACTTTAATATTATGGTTTTATCCTGTTGCTTTTTTGAAAGATTCCAACTGCTTTTTTAAAATGTTAAGAACACTCACACATACTTACTAGCAAAATCAACCTAAAAAAAAGAAAAAGAAAAATATGGAACAACTCTGAATGACCTTCTCCAGAGTGGCCAGGATCTCAGGCTGAGCCAAAGGTTTACACTTCAACAAGACAACAACCAAAAGCATACCGCCAAGAAAACACAGGAAAGCCTGTAAAAGTCCTGGAGTGGCACAGCCAGAGTCCAGACCTGAACCCAATGGCATCTCAGGAGAGACCTGAAAATGGCTGTGCACCAACGCTCCCCATCCAACCTGGTTGACCTTGAATGATTCTGCCAAAAATTGAAAAAAAATCTAAAAGAAAAGTGCCAAGCTTACAGCTTCATTCTCAAGAAGACTGAAGGCTGCCATTGCTGCCAAAGGTGCTTTAACCACGTACTAAGTGAAGGGTCTGAATGCTTATGTAAATAGGATATTTCAGGCTTTTATTTTTAATACATGTTCAAAAAACTCTTAAAACCTGTTTTCACATTATCACTGTGGAGTACTGTGTGTAGATTGAGGAAAAATAATGAATTTGATCTATTTTACATTGAGTCTGAAACAACAAAATGTGGAAAACCTGAAAGGGTGTGAAAACGTTCCGTACTGACTGTAAAGTTGCCAGATGAGTTAACTTAAGTGATTTTAGAGATAATCCCTTCTGAAAGCCGTAACCTACCTCAAGATCAGTCCCTGCTAAAGTGGCTCCCCGCAGGTTACAGTTCTTCAGCTTTGCATTTTTCAAAGTGGCCACACGCAGATTGATACCGGTCATTTGGCTTCCTTCCATGTCAACTCCTTTCAGGTTAGCACCTGATCACAAAAACATCTGGTTAAACTGTGATGACAAATGCGAGACCATGTTCCCACTGATTACGACACAGCACTGGATTACCTTCCAGGTTGGCCTTCAGTCCAGATGGATCTTCAAAGTTGCATCCTTTGAGGGAAGCTCCCTCGGCATTGGAACAGAGCATCTTCACCCCTTGTAAGTTAGCACCCTTCAAAGAACAGCACAAATATCCAAAGTATTCATTATTCATGATGCTGTTGTTCATAGTAATTCACTCCCACAATACATTTACCAGACTGAGGAAAAAGTCTCCTTGGTATCTTTTTTAGTGAGGTGAATATAATAGTTGGTGTGTGCCATTGGCAAATATGTATAAGAACAGATGTGAAGTTGC